TCAACCGAGTCGCTGCTGCTGGAGGCCCAACAAGACGATCCAACGTTATCGGCGTTGTGTCGGGCAAGGGAGGAGGGGAGGATGCCTAAATCCACAGAGACGAGCGGTTGGGCCGTCTTGAAGAAGCACTGGGGACAAGTAGAGGTTCGCTCAGGAGTGTTAGGAATTGCCAGCAAGCAACGTTTCCAGGCGGCCGTGCCCAAGGCAATTCAAGCTGAAATCATCAGACTCGCCCACGATGACAAATCCAGTGGTCACATGGGTCGGAGGCGGACCATCGCTCGGGTAAAAGCCCGATTCGTGTGGCCGGGGATGAACGAGGACGTCCGCAGCTACTGCGCCTCGTGCACACAATGTCAGCGACGCTGTAGGCCTGCCCCGAGCAGGCGTGCACCATTGGTGACTGAGGTGACGTCTCGCCCCTTTGAGAGGGTTGCCATGGACATCACGGAGATGCCTCTTTCCTCAAAAGGAAACAAATACGCACTCGTGATCATGGATTACTTTTCAAAGTACGTGAGAATTTACCCAATGCCAAATCAGAAGACGGAGACAGTCATGGATGCCTTCCTAGACTGGGTCCAAGAGCTTGGTGTCCCGGAGAGGCTACACACTGATCAGGGCGCACAGTTTGAGTCTCTGATGATGAAGGAGATGTATACGAGACTCGGTATCCACAAGACTAGGACAACACCCTATCACCCGCAGAGCGACGGCATGGTCGAGCGCTTCATGCGTACACTAAAGGACATGGTTTCGAAATACGTCGATGGCCAAGGCTTGAGCTGGGATGAGGGAGTCATGTCCTACGCCATGGCGTACAACTCGTCCCTCCACGAAACTACCGGGTACACCCCATTCTATTTGATTCATGGCTTCGAGCCTCGGGTACCGCTGGACGTGGTGTATGGCCCCGAAACTGACCCAATCCCGACCAGGACGTTCCTTAACAGTCGGCTGAAGACAATGAAACGGGCATATGCTCGTGTCAAAGAAGCCACGTCCAAAGCAGCTGCTCGGATGGCGGTTCGCCACGATAGCAGAGTCAATCACACTGCCTATCCTACAGGAACGAAAGTGTGGGTGCGAGATCACACGGCCGCCGTCGGCGGGAAGCCGAAACTGGGTCTGCCGTATAAGGGACCGGTGACCATCATCGGTAACCGTGGGGGGCGAGATGAAACAACATATAAAATTCAGGACGAGCGCGGCAAAGTACGTCAGGTTCACTACAATGACCTGAAGGAGTTTGTGCCACGGGTGTCTGGCATTCAGGAAGGGACTACCAAGCGCCACACTCAGGGACCAGATATGACTAAGGAAATGACTCAGGAACATGACACGGGGATCCGGGAGTGGATACCCAATGAGGATCACACAACTGGCTTACAAGTACCATTCATGCCATTCGTAAGGGCCGGCGGGTCCGCCGGAGGGACCCATCGGGAGCAGCAGGGTGGGACACCCCAAGGGTACTACATAACGCGAACCGGGCGGGTGTCAAGGCCGCCCGCATACTATCAGGCGGGACGATGAATGAGTCCAGCTTTCTAGTTTCAGATGGAGCGCATGCGGCAGGAGATCGATCGCCTATGGTCGGCCCTCGAAGAGGAGAGGGAGCAGAGGCGGCGGGAAGTGGCCGAAGTACGTGCCGCCCTGGAGGCTGTCCAGCAGCAGGAGGACATCGCGCTCCCCATCGGCGCCGGAGCGGTTGGTGGACCATCGACGACGACCGGCTTGCTCACGGGTGATGCGCAGCGGTCTGTAGAGTATCTGCCGCCGCTGTCTCCGACGTCCGCCGTGTTAGCCGGTGTCTCCACACCCCCGTTCGTGACTACCCGGCTAGAGGCGGGCGCAGGAGATCCTGTGCGTGACCATCTGTCTCCGCTGGCGGTCGACCTGGTGGAGACTGACACAACGGACCTGCTAAGTGAGCTGCTGGGTGTCGAGGCGCAAGAGTTCGAGGAGTTTTCGAACATGGAGCTGCAGGACGAGAAGCCGCGGGAGGAGACGCCCACAGACGGGTCGCCGGAGGAGGTGGTAGTTGGTGAGGCCGACGGGGCGTCCGGCGGTTCGCCGGAGGCTGGTCGCGCGGAAGCCGTCCTTCTCATCGGGGACTCGATCCTGCACAGAACAGACGTCCGTTGTGACCCACCCCGAAGCCTCACCATCCGGGCCATACCGGGGTACACACTGCGCCGCTGGGTGGCTGAGGGGGTCATGGAGGTGCGGAGGTGGTTGGATGGCCTTCATCCTGACACCTCCAGTGCCCAAGTAATCCTGTGGGTAGGAGGAAACGATGTGTACCCGAAGGACGCCATCAAACTACCAGAGGGGATGAAGACGCGGTTGATGAAAGAAGTTCAGGACCGGATCGGAGAAATACAGAGGATGGGAGTGCACGTCACACTCGTGGGCACCCAGCCGCGGCTGTCCCGGGATCGGGGCCGACAATGGGAAGAGACGCACGCCTATGAACTCGAGAAGTCTCTCCGCCAAATCAAGAAGGCTACGGGAGCTGCCGTCATCCCGCTGGGGCGGCGACTCTGTTGCCGCCACGGCAAGCGACGGGTGTATAAGGTGGCAGAGGGGCTCCATCTCGCGGACGGCGTACATCTGAACAAGAGGGGCTACGGGTGCATCAGTTTGTCATTCCCCAAGTGGCTCCGCATGCGTTAGCGGGTGTAGGGCAGGTGGTGGAGGCGGTCGTTCGGGTGGCGGCCCGTGCATCCGTACATGTATGTAGCAGCGGCTGAATGTGTGTGTTCTTTTGGTGTTGAGGTGTCTCACTTTCGTTCTGGGGCGGCGCAAGTACCTTTTTTTGTTTCGTTAAGCGAGCAAGGAGCGGCTCGACTCAGTAGTAGTATGGAGGCGGCTGTGTATGATACTGTTGACTGTTGAGGCATAGCCGTAGCAGCTCGGTGACTCAATGTGTGGCGGACCATCCCGGTGCTTACCCTCCCCTGCGCGGCCGGCGCGAGGAAGCAGCCTGGTTTTGTGGCGAGGCGTGGTTGTTTGTTCGTGTCGCGGGGAGACATGTTCGCGGTATTTCTTGTGCGGATCATCGTTGTTACATCGTGCGCGTTGTGCTAGGGGGGAGGGGTGTTACGGGCCGCCCCTGGGCGGGCGCCCGGCGCCGCCCGTGGCGCGGGCCGCCCCTGGGCGAGCGCCTGGCGCCGCCCGTGGCGCGGCCCGGCGAGTGGTCGCGGCGCCGCCGCCCGGCTGGCGGCGGCTGGGGAGTGGGCGCGCCGCGGCGAGCGGGCAGTCGGTCGCGGGACGCGGAACGGGGTGTTGTGCCTGTAATATATGTGCCTGTAATAGCTACACCCCGGATAGCGCTTCTTTTGACGTCCGTGTCGGCGCCGAGGCAGCCTGTAATTACCGGTGGACAGCCGACGTACGGCGGACGCTATGGACCGCTATAGGACGACCGTCGAGAGACGGGTGACGGACAGCCGACGGACGGCCGGCGGACGGTGGAAGGAGGGAGGGTCTCAGAGCGCCGCGGCACACGTCCCGTGTCCAGCCGCGGCGGCCCGGCCGGATGACAGGGCTCCGCTCGGACCGTCCACTGACCATCCATCAGCTAAACAAACACGATCCATCATCACTCGGTCTCTGGTAATTTGTAGCTCTCCTTCCAATTGGTCTGACCTTTTGCCAGCCAATTAATCCCCAGAGCTGCGTAAACAAAGAGGTGCGTCCGTGCACCCCCGGGGGCGGCTGCCTTGGGGTGCCCGAAGGGCTGGTCCTCATCTCGTGTTGGTCATTTACGACCCCTGACGGCGGCGCGCGGCCCGCGGCCGGGCCGGCCGGGCGCCTCACCTGACCTCTGACACGGCAGGCATGTCTGACCGCTGGCTACCGGCCCGGACTGGCCTCTCCGTACAGATAACACCCGGCGGCGGCTCCTCCGCCCTCTCTCCCCCTCCGCACTCTCTCCGACCGCCGCCCACAGGGCCCCGCTGCCGGGCGCCACTTGAAAGGATACCGGGCCCGCGGAGGGTCGGCCCGGGTCAGCCCCAGAAATATTCCACGGGGTCGGGGGTACTGGTTATCATTGTTGTCGGCCGGTCGTTAGGCCAAATATGACGCCGGCTCTAGGGATAATGGCCGCTGGATCCATGGGGCGACTGATGAAAAATGGCCTTTAATAACTGGATCTCGTGCTGCACGAACCGTGAGGGGCAGCCTCGTGGCCTCCGCGGGAGCTACAGACGCGTGGCACGAGAGCTCTGACCGGCGCCCCATCCCGCCGCACGGGTTCCTCGTTAGCGGCTTCACTGACCGACCCGCTGGAGCCGTGGCCGAGTATCAAATACCGGCTGCCAGTCACCTGTCCGTGCCCTGGCAGCGAGGCCCAGCTTTCCTGCCCCTGTCCGAGAGGTCACCGATGGGTGGACGAGCGGAGCATGTGGTAGGCGAGCGGAGCAGACCCCGGACGAGTGAAAAACCGGCCTAAATCTGGCCATTTCCACCGTCGGCAATCGCCTTCTGATGACCAGCACGCCCGGCTCCATTATCAGAGGTCAGCGCGGCCAGGTTAAGACGCCAGAAAAACCTCCATTAAATCGAGGAGGAGAACTAATTAAAGAGCCGCTGCCGGGCAGTATAAATTGGGCGCGCTGGCCCGGTGACAAAGGGTCCTGCTCCAACGCCGTTAGTGGTCATCTCGCGGGCCGAAGACAATGTCGGACCGGTCAGCCCGTGACCATCTCGGCCAAAGACCGTTGTTAACCTCACGTGAGGCGGAACAGCCTGTGGTTAGCCCGGCTCGGGACAAAACCTCGACGACAGGCCAGTGTCTCAGCTCTGTCGCGGTGAGGGGCTGTCGTCGGTGACATTCCTTCACACACGCGCCGGTCGGCGGGCAGCGACGGACGGGCACGTCGCCGGTACCCTCAGAGAGTGATTGTCGGTTGTTACAGGACGGGCTTGTCAATTTGTCTCGGTCAGAGCGAGAGAAAAGAAAGAGAGGAGAGAAGAGGAGTCGAACTCACCTCAGCATACTCGGCGCAGACGTCCACCGAGCGGACGAAGGTGCACACCTGCTCCACGTCCCAGGCGGCCACGGCCTCGGCCTCGGTCGAGCACGGCTTCTGAGTGCACGCCGAGCCGTGCAGGGCGGCCGCCAGTTCGACGGTCGGCCGCGGCGAGGCGCTGCCGGCGCGCGGCTCCTCCTCCTTCAGACCAAACAGCTCCTTGAAGCCGGCCTTGTCCAGACGAGGTCGCTTCATGTTGGACAGGTCGAGCGGCGCGCCCTCGGCCGGTCGCTTGCCGGTGGGCGCTGTGGGCGCGGCGGCGGCGGCGGCCACGGCGGCCTGCGAGCTGGCCAGGTAGTCAGCCGGCGTCAGGCCGGGCCGCACCATCGACAGCATGTCCAGCATCGGCAGGCCCGAGAGCGCTGCCAGGTGCGGGTGCATGGCCAGCAGCGGGTTGGCCGCCGTCACCGGCTCCTCCTTCTTCTCCTCCTTGGGAGAGCCGGCCGGCAGCAGCGGCGTGTGGCCCGGCTTCAGGCCGTACCGGCTGTAGTCGAAGCCGCGCAGCAGGCCGTTCTGCTGGCCGGAAAAGTACCTGCAGACAGACAGACACACACACGGTCAGCACCACTGTGGAGCGTAGGAGGCGCCTGCGATCAGTAAAACACATGTGGAGCGGCCGATACGGCCAGTCATCACGCGCTGATCCGACTGCGGGATGGGCGGCCGGCTCTCGCAGCGGGAGCGCCCTCTGATGTATGGCCCCTCCGCCGATCGACCCAATACACACACACAGAGCCCAGAACAGAAGCGGCTCATTCCCATCCCGCACGTAAATCAGCGCCACCCCACCACTCTGCCCGCCTCCTCCGACCTCTGCCCAGCGGCCGCTGTGTTTATGGATGCCGCCGCCCGTCAAGTCGTCCATCCGTTGTCGATACGCGGCTGGTAATGAAGCGGTGCGCGTGCCGGGTCGGGTCATTGGCGGCCACGACTGCACGTGCCGTACGGGCCGGCCGGCGAGGCGGGAGGTCAGCTCATTACAGCCGGCCTAGTCGTGACCGCCGCCGCGGGACACCTCTTCTGGACACATCAGAGCGGCCGAAATATACGGCCCGACCCATGAGTCAACAGACCACACCAGGAACGAACCTCCCGGGTCTGTTTCAGTGCCGGTCAAATATTTGCCCCGGCGCCTGTCGGCGAGATAGGCTTTCACACAAAATCAACACGGGTCAGCAGGGAGCCCTAAGAGGCTGCGTTCTCACGCATCTGTTGCCGGAAGAGGCGCTCTCCTCTTTTCTCAGCCGGCTGAAACTGATCACCTCATCAGCATCGGTCAGCCCAGACTCCTCCATTTCTTCTCCGCCCGTCTGTAATGAGCTTCCACGGCCCGGCTGGTCGCTCCCGGAAAATCAAGAAGCCGATTGTATGCTAAAAAGGTCGCCGGGTCACGCACTCAGGAGCGCACACCGGCGCCATTTCACGCAGCCTAAACCAGCGGTGGACGCCGCCGGAAAAACTTCATCCATACGAAATGAGGCGGCTGAGCTTGGCGGTGGCACGTCAGCCGCTCCCGGTGTTGGCTGCCGCTCCCATGGAGCTCCCGGGGAGCTGCGGCTCCGTTTGTACAGCGCCGGACTCGGGTCGGACCTCCCGCCAACTCGGCTGGTAAGTACGTGCAGGATAATGAGGATCACGAGTGACCGTGCAGGTCTGCCCAGTGTCATAGATACGCCCATTTACGAAAATAAGTCACTCCGTCTCCGTGATATACGATCACTAAGCAAAACAATATAGCTCCGTAGTGATTTCTCAGTAACATAAATTGTCAACAGTGTGGCTACCTACTATGCTTTTTCACCTGCATCATTGGTCCCATTGACCAAGGCCCAAGCATTTATCTGTTTCTGACTGCTTCTGACTGCCCAAGATCTGCCGAGACTTGCCCAAGATCTGTGCAGTCCACCTCTCACATCTCACAGAATTTCTCCTCACCAGCTTGACCTCACCGTATCCGTGCTTGCCCTTATGACTCCACTATGGCCGCCCACAGCGTTCAACAGACACCCCACGTGGTCGCACACCGGCGGCGCCTTGTGTGAACAGTCAACAGAGGCTCTCCTACGTCAGCCGTCAGCGCGCCCCCAAAGTGCCGTCTCACTGTGCGGGCGCAGCCGGAGAGGTGACGCATGCGGCGGTAGGTAGCCAATACGTGGGTGGTGCGAACCCAGCTTGCGTCAGAAGGTTAGGACAGAGGTCATCCGCCATACATATTGCGAGGGACGGTAGCGATGGAGTTGAGTAAGTCGATTTTATTTCAAATGAACGGGTAAGACCTCAATAGCAAGCTCCGATCCCTAATGAGGAATTTCATTGATAAAGGCTGCATGCCCTACATAGATACACGAAACTTTGCCTCGACCTTAAGAAGGAGCTAAATGGCGACATTTACCGCAGTATTGTCTCGTTCTCTTCTGTGACATACAGCACTGTCCTGTCCACCTGACAGGGCAGGACCGTTACGTCGCCTCCTAGGACATTCCACGGGCCCATAGTTAGCCGAAATGACCACTGCCCGTCGAACCATTTACGTTCCACGTGGTCGGTCAGAGCGTGCGCAGTGGGGCGGGTTCGCGTGGTCCCTCCGTCGCTCAGAGTCCTCCGAAGGTCCTCTCAGAGTCCTCCCGCGGTCCTCCTGTCCTCCCAGCGTCCACCTGCCTGTCCCCGCAGACGTATCACCGGCCGATCGGCCCGAATGAGCGGCTGGCTCGGACGGCGGACGGCATTTTTCGAATGTCACCCGAGCAAACAGCCCGCGAATGGCCCGAGGGTCAGCGAAATGGACGCTGAGAGACCGGGGCAGACCGGGCAGGTCGGAACAGAGAGACGGAAGACAGACGGAGCGCGCGGTCAGGAATGGCGGCGCTGGCCGCGTGTAGACTGCATGGGAAGAAGGGAAGAGAGGACGTCTGGAGAGCGAGATGGGCCGATACGGATTTGACGAAACGGTCAATGAAATGACCTGAGATTAATGAATTGAAAGTCTGGGACAATAAAAGAATGCACATTGCACACATACGTGAAGCTGACGGACTTAAACTACGTTTATAAATGAATGGGACAGGAGGTCTATCCTGAACGGATTCAGATGCGACCTCGGCCGGAGATTTCTGCACCCAATCAAGGCTGGCAGGGGTCACCCAGCACACCCTGGCGCCGCTGAATGGGCTTTGTCAGTTGTCACCTTGACACGAGATGGGCATCAGGCGCTGATCGGACCGACTGACGACATGTCCTTCGCCAAGGGGTGTCTGGAGGCGCCTGCTACAGGTGTCGTCTACCCACGGTACCAAGGATCAGCTGGTGGAGCCAGGCATGCATTAATGAGCCGAATATATGTATGTAGTGTCTGATGTAAGGTAGCTGAATTTGTGAGGTCCTGTTCTCCAGGTATCAAAGTACAGTCTTTCATAAAGGAAATGTGTCCAATGCTGAGCAGCTGTGTTCCATGGCCTGACATAACTAATGGGTGTCGATTTCAGAGACACTATTCACTTGGCATTTGTTTATCTTGCGACACATTCAACAACTTTTCCACTAGCAACAAGAATCCCTCAGAACAGCCATCAAGGAGCCATAACATCCTACAGGCACCGGGTGGCGGCACCGCCCCTCCCTCGGACCCGTCGAGGCCAGCTCAGAGCTGCGCTCAGGTTCGGGAAGTGGCCCCGGTGCTCCGGACGGGTAGTCAGGCACGGTCAGGGTCATCGCCACCCAAGCAAGTGTAGGTACGGGCTATCGCAGGGGTGCCCGGTGTCCAGTTGGATGCGATAGCGGTGGCCGGGTCGGCCGGGGGCGGCAGCTAACCTTCAACTCGATACGGCTGGCTGAGATCGATGCCGACCGCGCCTGACGAGCGAGCCTCGCCTCAGCGCTCAGCGCGGATCGAGTGCCGCGCTCGGATCGATAAGCTCCGATTGAACATCGATCTCGTCCGCGGCTCATGTGTATGTGTTTGTGACGGCTGTTGTGATCAGTCCCGACGTCGATCGAGCGCACGAACTCGAGTATCACGCAGGTTTCGGTAGCTGCACTTTTGCGCCTCGTTCGCCGCCGCGATCTCATGCACCGCCAAGGTCGTGCGTCACCCGTGAAACGGTTCGACCGAGCGACAAAAAGCGGAGCGTGCCGCTTTTACCCGCGGCCCATTGTCGACGTGGTGCCGTTTCCAAAAGAACAATTGTACGCACAGTGAGTGTCTATCACGGGACTACCGAATCGTGTCGGTCCGGTCACGTAGCAGTGTCTCGGCCGGGCTGACCTCTGACCTGGCGCAGGCGCCGGCCGGCGGAGGATTTCGCGCCCGTAATTGGTGGCCGGCCGCCGGTGGTAATTGTCGAATGGCCCGTGCACGGCGTCGGTGACCTGGCTGACCCCCGAGCGGCCGCGTGGAGCCAATCAGCCAGAACGGGACCCGCTTGAAGATGTTTATCAGGAGTGTGAAAATAGGGTCATAGGAATCCAAATTAGATGTCACCCGGCGAGCCCGTTGAGTTTTTGTCGGAGACCTATGCGATCGAGGCGGAGTGCTCACGCAATGTTTACAGCCTTAATTTGGAGAGGTGGTGATTTGAATGGGTCGTCCATGCCTGAGCAGGCACGCGTAAGTTAGGACTGTTCCGCATGGCACGGAATCGGGAACAGACCACATCTGGTGCCGCTCCCCGTCTGATGGATCGCATTTCCAACCACAAAAACAAGGCGAGGTTTTCCACGCCCGTTACTGAACCGGGTCCTGGGCCGTGTGAGCAGATGGCACTGCCACTGATCCGAGCCTCAGTTGACACGGCCAACATAAATCGGTACACCTACTGACATAGTTCCCGGGAAGCCGCCTCGTTCTGCCGACCCGCGGACACCACAGCGCGTCCACCGGCTGTCGGTTTGATGGTGCCGTGGCCCGGTTAAGGGCTGTGCGGCTCCCCATTGGCCGTCATTACCGTGCTCACGGCTGCACGGTACCACGATACCACGCACACCCCGCCCGGAGAAAGAGAGCCGCTGGGAGCGCCGTTCTGGCCGAGCTGCTCTGTGACGGGCGGTGGGAAGTCGCACGGGAGCGTCGGCCGTCGACGGCCGTCGGTGGTCGTTACGGAGCGGTTACAGTAGCCACAGCCCACGGTAGCCGTCTGTTGTCTGAGAGCCGGTTTGGTCCTCATCCCTGACCTGATCCTGGCTCCTGGGGAGACCTGCTACACGGCTCGAATGTTGATGTCCTTGGCTGTGGCTTAATCACCGGAGTTGATATCGAAAACGGTGCAGGTGACGCGACTGTCAGAGCAGCATTAGCTGCGGCTGGGCTAGAAACAACAACGAAAACAGAGCCCGCAGAACCATTTTTGCCGAAGCGTTATCGCACATCCCTGATCTAAAGACACTGAAACTGCATTGGTCGAACAAATTGTTCGCGGGGCCATCAAATTTGACGGTCGATTACTCACTCATTGTGTGTGCTGCTGTTGTTGTTGTTGTACTTGGCGGCCAGGCTGCGCATGAAGTCGCTGTAGTTTCTGGGCGGCTGCGGCGGACCGACGCCCGGCTGGCTGGTGACGGGCGTCGCCGCCACCGACGCCATCGACGCCGGCGTGGCCGGGCTGTGACGCTCCGAGGAGGAGCGCTGCGACGCCAGCGAGCGCGGCGAGCCGCTGGGACTGCGGTCGGGAGTGGCCGCCTCGCGCTTGACCAGCTCGCCGGCGCGGTCCGGGGTCCTCTTCCTGCGGCGCTGTTTGACGGCCGGCGTGAGGCTGGGGCCCGACGGCAGCTCCACAGAGTCGGTCTGCGCATCTGAAATCAGCGACCACAGACCGTGTCATGACCCCGAACGGCGGCCCGTGTCAGCGGCCACCTCCAAATACGGACGGCGTACGCGGCTGGCGCTGCGCCGACCGACCGGCGGCTGATCGAGATCGGGACGCGGCCAGATGTCCTAATATTCTGGCTGGGTCGGTATTCAGGGAGGAGCGCGGGACCAGCGGACGTGACATCCTGTCAGTGGCGTTCCGGATCGGTCAGAATGGCGACAGCCGCTGTCACCGGGCGGACGAGAGCTCAATCATGGCAGAGGTCAGATCGGGAAAAGGGACCGACCGGGTTCGAAGGAATTCGAGGATTGTGAACAGAGAGGCTATCTCTGAAAAAAATGTCTGGACGATTGACATATGGGGGCAATCCTTTAAAGGAAACCGACGATAGAAACATTACATAGTGATGACCAAACGATAACTGAAGTAAATAATGACCAGAGCCCAAGATAGGACTGATGAAACTCTCAAGCACCTGTAAAAAGTCACGACTGCTAATGCCTCGGGCGAAACGGTTGCAGAAGCGCGACTCATTAATGGCTCTTTACGAGCGAATGCAAAACAAAGCATTAAGCGATCGGGAAATGACACCCAAGCACCTGGCACGGACTGTTAGAACCTATAAAACTTTCCGGTTGGCTCGGAGCTCGCGTCTCATGGCCTCTGCAGAAGCCCATCAGCGCGTCTAATTGATTCACCCCGGAGTGTGCCCGACCACGTGTCGACATCAGGTTCAGCCGCGGGCGACTGCTGAGCCGGCTACTCTGCAGAACGGCCCGTTAGCTCCCCGTCTGTCCACCTCTCCATCAATCCACCTGTCCTGTCCACCTGTCCACGAGCTCGCTGACGGTGGATCCGGGCTGTGCAGGTGGTCGGTTTGTCGCAGAGACCGGCAGATGTCACCACACGAGCTCCAGCCAGCCGGCCGAGTGAACCCCGTCACCCGCTGCGCTTGGAGGTCACCAACAGCCGCTAATCCTGAGCCGCATTTCAATTTGCGCACCTGCCGGATGGTAAGATCCTCCTCCCCCGGCTCCTCCCCCCAATCTGACCACTCGGAGTGGAGGCGCCCCTCCCCGGCCGCCCCTCCCACTCATTCGAGCTGTTATCCGCTCATCTTAAAGCCGTCTGACCCCGTGCCATAACTGCATGCGATGGGAGCGGAGATTCGGCGAACGGCGAAGGCCGCGGATAGATGACCGCCCACTGGCCTGTCAACGGTGAGCCGTCATCACTCAACCGTCATCAGTCGTCATCGCCAGTGAGCTCATCGCGCCTTCATCGCACCCCTCCTGCCCCACCACTTCGTCAGACGAACTCCACATCATGCTGATAAAGGCCGTCGTGCCACCACCTGGGGAGAAACGAACAAGACCACGCCGGACTCGAATCAGACTCGAAAGTCTAGAGAGACTAAAGAGACACTCGGGAACCTCGAGGTGAGCTCGGAGCGATAGGGAGCATCGCAGTGCCTTCAGCAGTGGAGACAGAGAGGTGGGTTGCATAACTGTTTCGTAGTTGTGACTTCCAAATCTCCCACTGCGTTGTTGCTTGTGCGTCGATCTATGAGCATCAAACTGCGCAGTCGAGACGGAGCGATGGTGAGCTCGCGGTCCTCTGAGACGCAGTGATCTGTCCGTGCGATGGACGACCACCAACGCCGGTTCGGTGATCGGCAGACGGCCAGTCTGATCCGATCTTATCGAAGGGTGACCGGAGCCTCGAAGGCTGGTCCTGCAACAGTGAAGCTGCGGGGCTGCTGCTGAGTCCACCTGGAGCCGCGCGGAGCCACTCAGCCCAGTGTTTGCATTGACCCAGCGCTGGCTGGTGCTGCTCGCTGAGGTGTTGACCGGCCTAGCTCAGCGCAGCTGCAGTGCAGCGGTCAGCCAGCCGCAGAGGCGCCCCCTGGCGGCCGGTCAGAGCGACAATCGGGGTCAGCCGAGGTCGGTGGGCCGCCGCTCGGACCCTGAGTAACGCCGGCCGAGGTGTGGTCCACATTCGAGATGGGCGGGGCCGGCCGGCCGACCAGCCCGAGCGTAATTACCATGGGCAGTCTGTGCATGACTTAGCATAATGGGTGGGGTGCTTTCTTCACTAATTGGATGACAAGTAAACAGAAGATATGATTTAGCCCGGTGATTAACAAAATGCGCATGCGTAGGTCAGCTGGACGCAGCGGGAGAACGTACTCTCGGGTGGTCCACCGTCTCGAGTCTCTTTTCTTTGGTCTCTGAGCTCCACGTTGAGCGTTGCTGGTCTCCGGTGTTATCATCTGGCATGGCTTCGGGCTCAACTTTGACACTCAGTTTCTAGTCCTTGACATTTGGGCAACCAGTTTCTGTCTCTATTCTCTCAGTACTTACCCGTGGTCTCTCCTCCCGACCTTCTCCTCCCCTGGCCCCTTTCCTCGGCGGTAGCAGCCGGACGCGCCACCGCGGAACGCAAAACCGATACCCGACCAAACCACAAGAATGCCAGCACCAACAGTCCAGTCTCCTCCTCAGCTCACCACGGCGAACGACGGAGAGGGACAGACGATACCGGCACCTTCCTGTGGTCGCGCCTCGGTGGTGCCCGGTGGTGGTCGGAGGCGGACCCGCTGTCGGCACGGCGACCCGCGGCCGGCCGGGGCCGTGCAAGTATGCAGAGGGTCGCGAGGTCAGCTGTGACGTCACCTGGCCTGTGTACGGCGCCGCCTGGCTGCACAGCGCGCCTCAGTGCACAGGGGCGGAGAGACGCTCGGTGACTCTCGCCGGCGTCGGTCACCGGAGGTCACCAGCGGAAGGACCTCGGCGCGTCTCCGATATGCGTCACTGACCGGGTGCATAATGAAGCGTGTTGGTCGGAGTGACCTCTGTCCGCCACTCCGACCGTCACCTGGGCTGAGCGGAGCGGCATGCAGGTCAGAGCGACGGCCGAGGTGCAGCGTCTCTGGTGACGCAAGCGACACTGCGTGTGACAAGCGGCGGAGCCGAGGTTTGGGACGCACCGCGCACTCAGGCGTTCGCCCGCAGAATTAGCATGTGGTGCCATTTACGCGGAGATTCCGGCCGGTAGATCGCATCTCGGTCGTTACTCACGCGATACAGAAGTGGCGCATTCGCCGCCGGCGCGCCACTGTTCGCCTCGGCGTGCCAGGACAGTTGCCGAGTCAGTCGCCGCTCATCGTGACCTGCAGCGCCATCGACCAGGAGCTTTCCCCGATATCGGTTTGCAATCAGCAGCAAAAACGCGCAGCGTTTAGCCTGGTTTGCACGGAGAATGCGGTTGGACGGGGGCAGTCGGCCGACAGGGAGGGGGCGCCCGGGCAGACCGGTTGCAGGAAAGGTTATCTGGGACAGAATCGGCGCCGAGCTGGCCCGTCGCCGGCCGCTCAAGGTGAGGCCGTTGTCGCGCGCGGTGCCGGCTCCCGTGGGCGCACCGCCGCCGAGCTGGAAAGTGGTGGTCGTTTGCCGTCGTCAGCGGGTGCAGTCACGACCGGCGGTCATCCAAGGCCGCCTCCGCCCCCTCCACCCCGTCCCCCGGCCGCCCACGATCGCCACAGCAGCCACCGTCAGGATCTTGTCGATTTTTAGACGGCAGAATGCGGGTCTGCAGCGTGCTCCGGGTCGCTGGGGCCGCGCGTCTATCAGATTCATGTCAAGGGGACGTGCAGAGATGCCAGCCACGCGGTCAGTTCTCGGAGCCGGACCACAGACGGCGGAGGACCTGGCGACACTGCAGCTGGTGACACTGCAGCTGGTGACACTGCAGCTGGTGACACTGCAGCTGGTGACACTCCAGCTGGGGACACTGCAGCTAACGCCAGCTGCTGTCAGCCAGTGACCGCGGGCCAGCTGCCAGTGACCGGACCAGCAGCTGCTGTCCCTTCATCAGATTTCCACCAGCTGCATTAACGTCGCCCAGAATAGCAACTAAGGCAGACGAGCTCACGGCTCATTCAAAGTGGTACGTCATTGCGTATTTATCATTTGATAATAGCAGAGTTGCCTTCCCACGTCCTACACATTAGCTGTTCGGTGAGTGCCGCGGCACCGATTTATAGCTTCTGCCACTGTGTAGTTGCCGCAGCAGTTCTCTATATCTTCCACCGTTGCCTTTCTGTACTGCTAGCGATGCCTGCCGTCGCCGCCGCGCCGGTCGCCGCCGGTCGGTTGGTCGGTTGGTCGGTCGGTTGGCGCGTGCTCGTCCGTGCAGGTGGACAACAGTGAACGCAAGGTCAACAAGCTGCCGGCAGAAAAACGACAGCCGCTCGCCGATGGCCATCAGGCTCGGCGTGTTTTCGTGGAGACCCACCGGCCCCTTCTCCTATCGAGTAGGCAGGTCGCCAACTGATCGTCTTGCCGCTTCTGCACAAGGTCACTTATAACCCAGCCGATTGTGCGGTTGAGAGTTTAAGTCAATAATGGAGAGTGTTTGGCCGTATTCTATGATTGATAACGTGATAATTTGTCAAAATGTGATCATTTGTCAAAATGATCAGGAGAAATTAAATTGTCACAGCAGTTGCGAAGACAAAGAGATTTGTACTTCTAGCATTATTTTTGGAATGAATGATAATTGTCATGAAATGACTGCAATTCTTGCCAAATGATCGAATGCAGTAGCCGCCAGAAATCAATAACATCTGGCGAAGTCTTGGCGTGACGATCCAATAGTAATTCTATATAATATCCAACCAAGTGGCCAGTTGATCAGTTAGGCATGTTGTCGGACTGACAGCACGTCACTCTGACAGTTTGTCGTGCTGACAGCATGTCACTCTGACAGTGTGTCGTGCTGACGGTCTGCCAGCTCGACAGGGGCGCTCAAACATGGCGTGACCACAGTGCTGATCGCCCAGATGTCTATTTCGGCCCGGAATGGCTCGGCGGCGCCCGGTTTTCAGAAGCTGGTGTTCGGCCGTCCCGGTCGCAGCACGAGCGTCCCCGCACGCGGCGCCGGCCGTGTTAGTGCCGGTCTGGGCTCCACTCAGTATCGTCC